TGTATAGTGCAGCCATGAGGGTGGTTTGGTCCACAAACAAACACCTTGGCCACCCATGATGGCAAACCCAGCAGTAGGACAGGCCTTCCTCACACCTGCCCTGCAGGACCTGGTCAGGTGTGACCAATCAAGCCAGCCCTTCACATGGCCTTCTGTGGCCTGCCTCTTGGGGCAGAACCAGGGGTCTTGCTGGCGCCTATGCTTGGTTGCAGGCAGTGGCCTCTGGTCCTTGCAGCAAGGCCAGGTGATACTGCCTTGGCATCATGCCAGTGGCTACTGTGGGGTCAGAAGCTGTGATGGACATTGAGGGTCAAAACATCTGTATTGTGATTGTCTCCCAGTTACTCCAAGTTTTGCAACTCAGCATTCTGGTTTAGCTGTGACACAGGGTCTACTGTAGCTGACTTTGTTGGTATTATAACATGGGATTTCCTGCACTTTGTACACCTGGGTCTTAATAGTAATTCAGTTCTGTGCCCAAATGCAGACGTGCGTCTGCTGGGTCAGAGCTGTGAGGAGTGCGCCCTGCAGTCCTGGTACTGTCGACGAATGTGTGGGACATTCATTCCCTTAAGTGCTTCTGTGAGAGACTGCTCCATGTGACCAGTGCTCCTGACTTTCATTTTTTAAAGATTGCTTTTAACCCTTGAAGACAAAATCCATCTTGTTCTATATATAAGAATTGTTTTTTTAAATGAATAAATCAAACACTACCCACAAAAAAAAAAAAAAGAGTAGGCTAGACATGTGCTGGAAGAGAAAGATTCTTTGGCCCTCCGTTCTCTTTGTGTCACCTTGCTTCTGGGCTGCTTTAGCTGTACTTTCACAGGTGCCCAACAACTTCCCCCAACTTGATCTTCACAATTTATCCTCTACTCACCCTAAAGAGAGTCTACACCGCAAAGGTGGACCACTTGTGTTGTGGCACTCAGTCATGCATTCTTTGCTTTGTTCACAGCATCTTCTCCACCTCCCATACCCTCTATCCTTGGTTTAAAATATGAAAGTCCTAAGGACTGGTGATGTAGCCAGTGGTACAGCATGTGCTTAGCATGAGTGAGGCGTGGGTTCGATCCCCAGCACAAAACAAAACAAGAACAACAAAAAGTCCAAATCCTCCTTTCCCCTCAATATCATCTCAATGAAGTCTCCTCACTACAAAATGCCTGTGACCTGCCACTGATCACATTCCTCTTTGGAGGTATGAGTGTACCTCTCCCCTAACCAGATGGCACATTGCTTTGCAGCAGGGACCATCTCACTTTCATTTCGCATCACTCACAGAGATTGGCAGTGGCACAAAGTGAGGGGTGATGTGATGAAGAAATAATGAGAAACAGGCACTCAAACGTCTGTGCTTTTGAGTGAGCTACTTAACTTTGCTGAGGTTCCTGGTCCTCCTCTGTAAAAGGGCAATCCTTCCTTGCAATTGCTACAAAGAGAAACTAAAAGTGGTACAATATTGGCATTATCAGCAGCAAATGCTGACTGAATGAATCAGTGCTTCAAGATATTAGCTGTGTGTGACTTACAAAATCCAATCTACAGCTATTTTTGTTTATAGTAAGCCTTTATTTACCTAATTATAATAGTAAAAACACTTTTCCCTTAATTGCTTCAAAGTCAGGATGGAGGAGAAGGTTTGCTATATGGCTCAAACAGTTTCTCCCACAGATGTTTGAGCGTGGCAGAAGTTTTCCTTTCTTTTCTTGTCTGAGGAAGAAAATATTCAGTGAGCTCCATGACCAACAAGTTGAGATGCTGAGGCTGGAACGATTGATAGCAATTATTTCTATGGGGTGACATTAAAATTCCTTTATTAAAATTTCCCCAAATTAATAATGTTCTGATGACTTCAAGATATATTCTCAAAATAACTAAATCTTACCAAGGAGAAAGATCACATCTTCAGCACAAGTCTTGGGCCCTCTCCCTTTCAATATATATATATATAGAGAGAGAATTAAAGTTACTAAAATACATTATAAAAAACTAAATTCTAAGCCTTATTTCTACTTGGGGTTTAAAAAGTGTCTCCTCTTTTTCTGATCACAGTGGGCATATTTTCTCATCATTTCATTCCTTGCTTTCTCTTCATGCATTTTGTGGCTAAAGTCAGATTGGGTGAAGGCAGATTACTTACCTGGTATCCCATATCTACATTCAATTTAAAACACATATTTTAGCTGGGTGTACTATAGTACTTATTTCTTATATTTCACATGATTGCTTTAAAAACATGTCAAATATTTTCCCCATTACTTTATGCTCCAAGTAGTTACACCATTAATGCATTTTGTGGTGACAGTGAACTGGAGCAGGTGGATGTTGCTGTGGTTTGAATGTCCCCACCAAAACTCATGTGGAAAGTTAATTGTTGTAAGGTACAAAGAGGTGCAAAGAGGTGTTATAAGAGACGATTAAGTCATGAGTGCTTTACCCCATGTCTCCACTTGTGGATTAATGGATTAATGGGTTATCTAGAAAGTGAGTCTGTTTTTGTTTTTTTTTAAACCCAGTTTGGTCATCTCTCCTGGGCCCCCCTCACCATGTGACACCCTGTGCAGTCAGTCTTGGGTCTCTGCAGAGTTCCCACAAGCAAGAAGGACCTTGCTATCTGCGACTCCCTTGACCTTGGGTCTCCCAAGGCTCCTAACCATGAGCCAAATAAACCTTTATTTATAAATTACCTAGTCTGAAGTATTTAGTTATAGCAACAAAAGATGGACTAAAACATACACCATGTATATTAAATGTGGAATAAAATCCACCTTCCCACAACCTGGGTTGTTTAAAATTAACCTAATTTTGTCTGGGGCTGGGCATGGAGCATTTTGTTCTAGCACATCTCAGAAGGTGACAGGTTAATCTCTCTGTGGGCTTTTAAATAATGCTGAATTCTTCTCAGTAAAAGTCAATTTATCATTCCTCATAACATATTTACTGAGCGCAGGAATTAACACCTGATTTTTTTCAGGCTGTTTACATAACCTTCTTTTTGGTTCAAATTAAAAGATTGGCAACATGACCTAGCATCTGTGGGAATGGGCTATAGGGAATAGATGGCAATCTAAACCTGATAGAGTCAGTAAAGCAGTATTATTACTTTGTTCCCTCTTACCCTTCCACATTCCACGTACATTAACTTATAATGAATGAACATTATAATATAATAAGAAAGCATGAGAAGTAAAAACTGAAGTTCAAGTCAGCTAAGGATGGGCAATGATCAAATCTTTTATTATTTCCAAACCAATGGTTCACAAAGACTCTCACATTTCTTTCTTGATGTGTAATCTGTTACCCTAGTTCTAGTTTCACATAAATAATCAATGCCAAATAATATAAAATATGTGCACCAAGTAAAAAAGAGAAAGGTTTGTATCAGCATGCATAACTAATAGAAATGTGCTGGTTCCTTTATCCTTGGTTCTAGGCTGTGCAGTATTATACCAGTAGATTTTCATTGTCCCAAGTCTAAACCATCACACAGAAATTGATTCTAAAATATAGTATTATAATCTCTACTAAGCACACTGTTGCATCTATTCAATCTAACAAGAAAACTAACAAAAGCAGAATCTACAATTTCTCCCAAAATGGCTGGCTTTAAGTCTGCTCAAGTTATTCTAAAAAATGTGACATTAGAGAAGAGATTCAGTAGTACAAGGCTTGGCACAAATCTCACCACCATCACCCCTTTTATAAAGGGAGTTCCCAACTTCTAAGCTTCATCTCCCACTGAAGCTTTCCGTTAATAGGATTCTATGCTGAAGAGTCCACGTTTACATTCAGGAGGCATTCATAAATGCTAATTATCCATAAATGTGTAACTAGATGGGTTAATTACCATGGCAACCCAAAACTTTCAGGTCAAATACTTGGCTGTCAAATTTCTTACTGATATTTCAAATACTATCTTTTTACATAGCTGAGATATACAAGTTGGAAAGTATTCTATATATGAAAACAATTCTGATGGCAGGAAACAGTTTAATAGTGGTCTTCTGATATGCTTCACAATTATTAGACCCAGTAAACACCAGTGGCCATGCCAAGACACAGGGAAACGCATACACACCTATCTCTGCCTCTAGAAACAATGATGGTGCCAAAATCAGTGGGGGTAAACAGAATCTTAAAATGTAGCCACTGAAAGAATCAAATCATTTCCTAAAAGAAGCAAGCCCACTAATGATTTGCTTAAAGAAAAGCCAAAGCAAGAACAAGAATGTGAAATACAGATAGGTCACTCTTTGAGAAAAGAAGCCCAATATTTTGGAAAGTATGTTGAATTTTCTAACATTCAACCTGACCTTATTCTGTCACATTTTAATATGATGCAAAATTTCTCTAGGAATTTCATTAATAAAAGATTGAATGGTCATCAATACTATTGAAAATAAGTATAAAAGTCCAGCCAATGGCTTTCAAAACAGAATAAGGTTACACAAGGCACACTGACATATTACTTACTCTGCACAGGTTAGTCTCCAGAAAACTGATAATAAATACGGACTTCAGTGACCTTACTAAAGCAGTAAGAACAGAAGCTCAAATATACTTTGATCAAAAAGGAACATTTAAAAATGCTTATCTAGATCAGCCAGTCAACCAAAATCTAAGATGAAGGAAATTTTTAATTTCTTATTTCAGAGCAGCGAAATAATTTTAATAACTGAATTAATTGATACTCTGACTGCTGGTTCCTTAAATCTCAATTCCTGGGCAGCAGCATACTGTTCTTTACGGATATATGACCATCCGGGTTGTCCAAAGTACTTGTGCTTTTGTGCCATGTTCTCCTGTTACCCACAAACTCTCCCTCTCAGCATCAAAGGCATATAGGGTTAGCTGAGGAATCTCATGACCAAATTATTGTTGGCCAAAAATACACTGCTAACACAGTGTATCACAAATGATGAACAGAAATGTTACCTTCATTGGCAAGACAGTTTGTCCACGTTAGCGAGCGCATTCAGGAAAGTACAATCACTTACCTCAGGAAGTGCTTCATTGTGCCTCTGTTGATTGTCCAGATGCCACACGAACTGTCCTCAAGTGATTACTTGTAAATTTGCCTTTGTCAAAATACGTGTAAGCTGTGGGGAGAAATTAGATAATCTGTTAATCTGTTAATAAGGAGACTGGAAATTGCAAACCAAAAATTTGTGCTTGCTGAGGTAAGCAAACAACATGCTACACACTCAGAACTTCATCAACTGAACTGTGTACATAGCAGCACCCCTCAATGGTTGGACATTACAGCTCCAGATGAAATCTTACAATTATGCAATTGATCTTTCATTTTAAGTCACTTCCTGGAGAAACTACTAGCTTCATGAGCTTGAATAGCAAGCCTTTTCTCTATCTGGGCGTTATTCATATCTTGATGAACAGTATTTGTAAGAAAAATAAAAATGAATAACTATAAAAGTAAGCATTCTGGCTTTCAGTTACCCAGCCATGATCTTCCAGAAGTTCCACTCAAAGAACTAGAAACAACTGATAATGTCATTAAGTTCAGAAATACAGAACATGCTATATGGATGAATGGAAATATAACCCTAAACCCCATTAATAAGCACAATGAAAATGTGCTAATATAAGATTTTTAAAAAGATGTTAAAGAGCTAGGTACTCCAAACAAATAAATGATGCTCCAGGTCCAGTTTTAGGGGTCTGTGAACAAAGTAGCAAGATTTTATATTTGCAAAGCACTTAGCAGTTTACAATTTGATTTCACAAAGCTTACAACATCAGGTTATTGGTCTTCTTCCTTCTGATAAGGAAGACATTAGGGGCAGCCTAGCAAGTAAGCAAGTTGGATGAGATGATGAAACAGAGCAGAGAAGAGAGTGGCTAGACGCAACAGAAGAGGGGTGTTCTTTCCAAGAGAAGAGACAAGTGGAACATCAGCTACAGAGAGAAACTAAGGAAATAAGTGTGTGGACAAATGGCAGATGGCAGAGACACAACTCCAACTAGAATGACCCAGAAGTGTGGGGGGGAAACTCAAATATTCTGTGCATGTTAAAAAATGTGTATGTACTAACTTAAGATTGTGGTTGGTTGTTTCTGGGAGGAGAGACGACTTAGGTTTTGGGGTAATGGATAACCTTCAATTTTATAAATATTTTTTCATAAGATATATCTGAAGAAAAATAAAGAAAAAATATTTGTTCATTTTGGTGGTGGAACCATATTATTCTTTGTACATTTGTGGCTTTTTGAAATGAATCCAAATTTTAATTTAATTTGGTAGAGCCCATCCTGCACTCCATTCATGGTTTCTAATACATCCAACAATGGAAGGCACCAGGAATTCTTAAAGAAATGCTTGAGCTAGGGCTGGGGCAGGGCAAGGTGAATCTGAAGCATCTTGTAATGCCAGAAAGTTGGGAAGTGCTCAAGATAAACAAAATAGGGGGCTTTCAAATAAACATGCAACCAATGGAAAGAGTCTCCAATAACTGAAGTTCAAACAATCTGAGCAGCAAAATAAAGTGGTATTGGGTTATAACCCTAAGTTTAACATAAAGATTCAAGGGCCTATACAGATATAAGTGAATGACTGAAAAAATGAACAAGTGGTGGAGCATACCTAATTCTCATACAAAAAAATTTCAAATATTTATGTAGATACTGAAGGAGGTGGAGCATAGCGCCTTACCCCTTTAAGGTTGGGGTAGTAATGACTTCCTGAGTACAGTATGGAAAGGGAAGAAAGAAAGGGTAACTAAAGTAGAGAAAACCAACAAGCACTACCACAGCCAGGTGGTGGAAGCCAATGCCACCAGTGAGAGGTCATATTGATAGCATGCAACCTTGATATTCTTTGAACAAAACAGTATTTCATGCCTTTGATTTTTCTCCCCAAAACCCATCACTCCAGTCTAATCATGAGAAAAATAGACAAATTCCAATTGGAGGACACTTCACAAAAATGTGTAACTAGTACTTCTCAAAACTCTGAAGATCGTAAAAATAAGGGAGGTCTGAGAAACTGTCAAAGGCAAGTGGCGTGTGCTTAAGAAGATGATATATGGCTAAATATGATTTGGTGTCCTTGATGGGGTCCTTGAACAGAAAGGGGACAAGAGGTAGAATCTAAGGAAATCTGAATCAAACAGGGAGTTTTGGTTAACAATAACATATAAATATTGGCGCATTAGTTGTAGCAAATGTATTGGGTTAATGTAAGATGTTAACAGTAAGAAAAATTGGATGCCAATATACGGGTATTATCTTTATAGTTTCTATATAGATCTAAAATTATTCCAAAATGAAAATTTATTAAAATGTATGAATGTCTACTATGCTGTAGATACAGAGTTAGGCACAGGATGAAACAGAGGGGCATATGTTTACCCTTTTGACTCAAGGGTTTTGAGGGAGAATTGGAGATGATACAGAAAAGCAAACAGATATTTAAACACAGTATTCCAATTGTAAATGGATCCCGTGACAGTGGGGAGGAGAGGTTCCTATCCTAAATGCAGGGGTAAAGAAGTTTCACAGAGAGCATATGTGATGCCGTACAAACAAAATAAAGCATAAGGTGTATGGGGGGATAATTAATATGACAGCATGGTGCTCAGTGACAGGGACAGGTAAACACAGGGATGGCAACGTATGGAAACCATGGAAGGCTTGCTAAACAATGTTAAAAGAATCTGAACCTTCTCCCACAAGCTATGAGGAACTATTGAAACTTTTCAAGCTGAGATGTAACGTGATTTCATTATTAGGTTTTTGTTTGTTTTTTGGCAGTACTGGGATTTGAACTCAGGGTCTCGTGCTTGCTAGGCAAGTGCTCTACCACTTGAGCCATGCCCAAGTCCTTTTTGCTTTAGTTATCTTTCAGACAGGATCTCATGTTTTCACTTGGGGCTGCCTTGGACTGTGATCCACCTACTTCTGCTGTCTGTGTAGCTGGGAATATAGATTGTGCCACATGCCTGGATTGTTTGTGGAGATGGAATCTTGCTAACATTTTTCCCAGGTTAGCCTCAGACCATAATCCTCTTGTGTAACTAAGATTAAAGGCATGAGCCCCTGAGCTCAGCCTTAGATTAATAGCTTTTAAAATATACTCTAATGGTGGGGGAGGGGGCAGGGGGGAAGAAATGACCCAAACAATGTACGCACATGTGAATAAATGAATAATAATAAAAAATACATACTTTGACGGTAGTATGAAGAATAAATTGTACTGTGGTGAAATTATAGGTAGGGACAACAGTTAGAGGTTGGCTACAACAATCCTGGCAAAGATAAGGTAATGGACAGAGACCAAGTGTGAAGATTTGGAGATATTTAGAAGGTGGAATAGATAGGACTTCTGTTTAACTGACTGATTGACTAGAGGTTTGGTGAAGGAAAGCCTGTTATGCCCATGTTTATGGATGGCAACTGGATAGACAGTGAAATTATTCACTAAGATACAGAATTTTGGAAAGACAGGCTTAGGGGTGTGGCTATATACAGGATCTTTGGGACATTCTGAGTTTTGAGGGCCAAGTGGCAGAATGAAGAGATACAAGCATCTGAAGGTCAGGAGAACAATCTAGGTTGGTGACAAAGTTGGGCTTCCTCAGTATAAAAATATAATTATAACCATCACCTAGATGTAATTGCTAAGTAAGTAACGTAGACAACATTTGTTCATGATGCAGTTCATGCCATTAGGATAGGATTAAATCACAGTTTTCATACGACTGAGGTAGGAAAAAATGGATGACATTTTAGAAAGGTCTTATCAGTATTAAAGACAACTTTAACCTTAAATTGTTTAATTTCAGTTAGCTAGAAAACTGGTTTGTCTATAAAAATTGATTTCATAATGATGTGGGATACATGAAATAGAACAACACTATGCTATTAAAAATGTCCTCAAGCTTCCTATTGTCTGCGTTCTGTTCCTGAATTTATCTACTGAATAAACACCTTGCATGCTTATGGGCCCTGTGCTGAGCTGAGTAACGGAACATGGTTTAGTTCTGTGAGGAAGCCTTACTATTTTGGCAGGTATGGTAGGGATTGTGCATGGCGGTTAAGAGCGTGAGCTTGGATCTACCACTAGCCAGCTGCTAGTGGTTAGACAAGCTGCTTAACCACTCTGGGGTTAACTGGGGAGAGTAATTACAGCTAGCTCGTAAGGTTGTCCTAAGCATGTGAGGTGCTCAGCTGTTTCAGGTGTATAACAGGCACTCAGTGAGTGTGTACTCATTGGTATTATTGCCATCCTTATTACATTCTCCTCTAAAATAAAAGATCTCTTGTCAAAAATCACTTAGAAAACCACTAAATAAATTCTGGGAAGTTGATGCTATCTGAAATGGAATGATGGTGCTGAGGGAGAGAAGTGAACAGAGGCAAAGAATTTCTAGAAGGTAGAATCAACTGAGCTTACTGATTGGATGGGAAGGAAAATAACCATTAGTTCTAATTATCTGTCACCCATACAGGAAAAAAACATAACAATTAGACCTAATCGTCCATTCCCCAAAGCCAGAACACCAAAAAATGACTTTGGGTGGCCAAAGAAAGCCTGTGAAATTATTTAACTCATTGCTAAGTGGGAACTCATTAAATAACCTTGTTAAATGTTTTATATAGGAAAACAAAAAAATCATTGCTTATTTTAAGTTACTGCTTAGTTCTTTTTGTTTTAAAGGAGGCACACTTTAGTTAGTGTTTGTTAGATGATCTGTGTTGCAACAAATCACAGTTGACACGAAATGCATGGTATCCTGAGCCACCGTGGAACTGCTTTTCCTTGCTTCTGGATTAATCTGTTCCTTGGTACTGTTCCTCCTTTGTAGCCAAATCAGCATTTCTCAAGCCGCAGCTGGGCAGGGCCTAAGAATGGAGAAATTTACATTTGCTTCTCATGTGCAGAGTGGGGAAACAGCAATGTGTCCACAAAATGCATCGAGAGTATTTTCACACATCTGCCTTCTAACTTTAGCTTGGTTTTAAATGTAAGTTACTTATCTGGTTTATATTTGTTTCCCTAATGGAAAGACAAAAATATGAACTTTTTGCTTCATTCTGAAAGAGCTCATCACATTCCTGGTCAGACTTAATTTTAACG